TGCTATGGACACGGGTGTACAAGTATCTGTCTGAGTCCCTGTTTTCAATTCCTTCAGTTTATACCCAGGAGTGGAATCCCTGGATCATATGGTAATTCTGTATTTGACTTCTTGAGGAATCCTCTTTTGCTATGTAAATAAACAGGTTTCTGAGACTGAGGCACTGCCTCCTGTGCTAACGAGGCACCTAAATAAACAGGTTTAAAAAATGAGATATACTATAATTGCACAGGGTCAATTTCATTGCTGTGATTGAAAAACCAAACAAAATGATCCCTTTTGTGGATTAGAATGGCAGCAATATTCTTGACAATGTATTAAAAAAAACAACAAATACAAACATAAGAAATAATTGGATTGCTTAGAATACCACATTAAAAATCCAGCCTGATTAGAACGAATCCATGCTTATATTCTAAGAATTAGCGTTTTAGCCTGGATACAGGCTGGTGGCTGCCTAAGGTAGGACACAACCGCCATGTCAGTTAATCTCTTCTTCTGCCCATTAGAGACGTCTGTCTGGAGTTAGGTAACTAGATCTCACCTTTACTCGCTTCTTTCCTGTTCCTGTTGTTATCTCGGATGCTGGAGCCTTCATCCAGGCCGCTCCTCATCCTCTGAGCGGGCTGGTCTCCTGCACTCTGTCCTCACCAGGTAGTAGCCTTGGCTCTGTCTGCACAGGTGAGAACAGATGTTCAAATCTTGCTCCCAGTTCAAACTCTGCCAAGACCTGAACTTTCCGTGCTTGATTTGCCCTTTAGGAGCAATCAATATCGCCCGCTAATGTGGGACTTTCATCCTCAGGTTGCCTGCCGACTTCATGAGGGCTTGAAGGAGTTTCTCTTTGTCAGGTATCTTCCTGTATTTGAATTGGAACACCTGGTGGGGAATGGGGGTCACCTGGGAGGGGCTACATCCCATGCTTTTACCCTGAAAACCTGTTGCGTTCTAACCAGCTGCTTTGAACTCTCTGATTTTTATTGAAATAGGAGATTCCCCGACCATTTACCAGTTAGTATATTCTTGCTCCCAGAGGCCACTCGCCAGAGGAGAGTGTTGCTTCTAAAAACATTTTTACTCCCAGCTCCCTGCGCAGGGCGTCCTGTGGTGACACGCTGCAGGTGGAATGGTGTTTTCATGCACTGTCTCGGGTGCAGGAGGACCCCAAACATCTCACAGACTGTGTGCTACTTTCTCCTTTTCGTGCTGGCCAGGGCGCCATCAGTCACTTTTGCCTGGTTGACTTCAGAGTTGTCAGCAACCAGAAACCACCCCAGATCTGTCTTTTCCCCTTTTCCGGCACAAGCTTAGGCCCCTGCTCTCTCGGCCAAGCCCCACCCGCGGCTCTGGCAGCTCCCATCTCCTGGCTGTTCCCAGTCCAGTCTCAGCTGGCTCATCACAGCAGAAGCACGGCCTCCCGCCTTCCTCGCTCCCCGCCTCCCTCATTACTTAGCACTTAAGTGGATTTTTCTGTTCATCTGTAGTTTGTTGTGGATGTTTCTGATTCTGGCACTTCTGTTTAGATGTATTTACAGTTAGTTCAATTATCTGCTCTAATGGCGAGCGAGGTGGCATGAATAATTTAAACGTAATTTACATTTGGCTTTGGGATGCCTCTCTGTGCTCACATTTGAGTTTGGGGGTGTCTGACATTCTGGAAATTCACATTTAAGACTCAGTAATGAGGCCACGGTGTGAGATGCCTGGGGAGGAGGGGGGAGTTGTTCAGCATTTTTTCCCTCTGGCCCTGCAATGTCCTTTGGCTCCCGACTCCATGATGGAGTTGGAGAGCATCCCTTCTATAGTTGGCTTGTTCTGGACCCAGGAGAGCCTTCCCCGTCCTTCAGGGTGTCCGCCTCAGCCGTCTGTCTGTCTGTCTGGTGCACAGCGTCTCTATCAAGCGGGGGTGGTAATCAGGAGGCCGACTTGGAGGCAAATGATCAGGGCTCATGTAATTATCCGGGAAAGAAAAATTCCCTAATTGTAAGACTTTGCCAAATGAGCATTCATTATCGGGGGCTGCTCATCAGCACACACAAATGTAACCGGTCTGATTGTTTTGAAAAATGGCCTTAGCCGTCCTCATTGTAAAAGACGTAAGCGACATGATGTATGATTGAACGCGTTAACTGGCTGGGAGCTAGCAGGGTCCTTGCACATCCACCGAGCTGCCCACACAGGGCTGATGAACCGATGACATCCCGGGTGGAGGGCCAGGCAAGCTTGCGGCCCTGACCACACCACGAGAAATGTTTAAGTTGAGCTGATTTGTTACATAAACACTCTAACCTCAAACTCAGTCTGGGCAATTGCGTCCCTCTCCTCCGAGCTCTGTCTCGCCAACACGGAGGGGCAAGGGCTGTTTTCAGAACAAACCTGCCTTTAGTCTCATTCTAATCGTGGGATGAAATGATTGACAAAGTATCTGAATGTTGGTCTCTTTAAAGCATTTCAGGAAACTAACATACAAACCTAGAGAGCTAAAGGGAAGGGTAGCCTTACCACGGAGTGTGATTTTATAAAAACGAACTCAAAACACGAATGTAAACTTCCCTGGCAGATGGGTGGAAAGCCACTCCCCCAGGGCCAGCCTTGTGCTGTCTGCGGCAGATCTTGCCAGCCCAGCCCCACCCTCCAGGATCCTCGCAATGGCTTCTGGGATCATTTCACCGGCACCCCTCCCCCAGCCTTGATTCTCATCCTTCATGCACTGGGTCCAGTGTGAGCCTTGCCTGGGCAGGCACTCACCCATCCTGGATTATCTGACAAGATGCTGGGATGGCAGCCCCGCTAGCGTGGCTCAGTGGTCGAGCAACAACCTATGAACCAGGAGCTCATGGTTCGATTCCTGGTCAGGGCACATGCTTGAGTGGCAGGTTCGATCCCCAGTAGGGGGTGTGCAGGAAGCAGCCTATCAATGACTCTCATGATGTTTCTATCTCTCTCTCCCTCTCTCTTCTTTTTTGAAATCAATAATAAAAAAAAAGAACCAAACCCTGGTTTAATGTCAGACCAGATGCTCTTCAAATATCCATCGTGAAGACTACTCATGGATTGCTTTAATCGAGTCAGTACATTCTAATTAAAACGAACGAAATAACCCTGGCAATAGAGGAATGAACAGAACTTTAACGAACGGATCGACTGATTGCCTTGCTGCGTCTTACCTGAGTCTCCTTGTCAGGGAGTCCCGACAGGGCGTTCCTCTGGGAGGTTCAGAGGGTCCTGGTCTGGCCTCGACCTCTGTAGGTGTTGCTACTGCAGGCCCGGGAGCAGAGAGGCAGCGAGACCACAGGTCTGTGAGCCTTGGCCGGTCACTTCTGATCTGTGAGTGGTTTCTTACATGTCAGTTCTAGAGCCGAGAGGAACCAGGACACGCCCATCCTGAGGTTTCTAACCCGAACCCACCCTGCCAAAGGCCAGGTGAGCTTTTCTTTCTCCTGCCTTGGCCTCGGGAGTGAGTAGATAACTAACTCTTCCTTAAAGTAACACTGCCAGCCTGTGGATGCCTCAAGTCTTCACGAGTTGCTAAGCCCGCTAACCAACCTGTCAAAGACCTGCCCTGCCAGTGGCGACTGCTTCTCACTCAGCAGGTGTATTCGAGTAGGTGAGCGAATGAGGAAGACGCGCCAATCACACACCAGCTCTGACATCTCGAGACGTGAGACGAGCCCCCTGATGGGAAAGAGTTCCCAGCAACACCTGGGTTAGAAGTCCTTCAACGTGAGCGTTCAAACTTCCGCATCTGTGTTCAGGATGCTTTTGATTTTTCCCTTTTTGGTGACTCGGTGAGCTGCCTGGTGAAAGCTGCCTAAAGAAGTCCCTGGTCTAAATCTATAGTCCCTCGGAGTATAGATTTCTGAAATCCTTTTCTCCCCCCTGAAGCATTTCAAAAATAGTAAAGGAAACTTTAAATGGTAGAGGAAAATAACAAAAACTCGATAGCAGAAGGCAACTGCTTAAACAAAATCAATTCACGAGAAAGACTGCTTACTGAGTGCATCGTAGAGTGCACACATTTACCGAGAACCTTACAATCCTCAAATGGTTACATAAAAAATACTAGTTTCCTGTCTCTTTGGAGAGGTATACTCCCAAAGATAAGGTGGGGAGGGGGTGGGGGGGACACTTCAGAAACACCCAGTGAAATCATTCGTGGGACAGTCTTCCCATGGGGAGGCTTTTTAGTTAGTCTCCAGTGTTTTGGAACAAACTAAATTGTGCATAAAGACACATTATGGGCAGAGCAACTAACGAGCAGGGTCGGCGAAGGGCACAGCACGAACACCCAGGAAAGAGCCCGTGGCGCGGTCTCCTGCAGGATGTGCCGGGGGCCCTGGGGATATTCATGGGGACTGGTACTCACACTGCCAGAGCACAATCACGTCTTGTTTGCGCCTGAATCCCTGGTTTTGTCTAAACTTTTATATAATTTCGTATTATTGTAGGGAAAAATGGGAACAAAGGAGGGCCAGGAACTCCGAGAGGGGAAAAGGCCATAGAACATTCTTTACTGCGGGTGAAGAGCTGGACAAATGGAAAAACGTCGGCCAACACCTAACTTTTAGGAGGAACTTTCTTTGCCCTGTGGGCCTTCGAAAGCTTAACGGCCATTGAGACTCACTTATTGGTGGAAGAGAAGAGCGTAAACCCGTTAGTTTTTAGGTAAGTGATGTGACCCTCAGTGGCACCGAAAACCAGTGCTGGCTACGAAGCGCACTTTGTTCCCAAGGACGTTACAACTCTCCGACAGCAGGAAGATTTCACAACGGACCAGATATTTCTCCCTGTTGTTTTTTTTTTCTTGTTATGTTTGTGAAGCGCTGGTGGCATTCACAATTTTCCAGGAAACTGGTGTCAGGTAACAGCCCCCCAGGAATAGCCACCTCTAGAGAGCAGAGCTTTATCTGGCGCTGAAAACTGGCCCGGGTTATCTACCCGGTTTTCCAAAGACAAAACGCATTTCTTTCCAGTTCAAAGACAAGACAGCAAACTCCAGAGTGAGAAAACGTTACCTTTTATTTCACACTCTCTTAATCGCTCTGTCCCCAGACAATAAACACCCTCAAGTGTAAGCAGTGGGAGATAATGTAAACGCTGCCGAAACAGAAAATAAATTAGTTTCTTTTCAACGTGGTGGAGGTCCTCTCACTGATCACTGCGCTCGGCTGCAGACGGATGCCCCGGGAAGGAGAAATCTTTGGCCTATTCTACCACTTCTCCCGCGTTGCGTAACAAGCCTATTTCAAATTCATTCTCTCCTCCAACCGCGGCCAAAAGGCAAGGAGTAGTTTGAGCTTCAGGAACCTGAAAAACAGAAAAAAAAAGTCTCAGTGGTTCAAGAACAGCCTTCTCCTGGTGGGACACTGTTACTGTCTGATAGCTCTAAAGCTGGAGACAGAAGAGAGTTCAAGGGCAGGTGGGCGAGGCTATTCACAGGAGGAGGCCCATATCACTGTGGCGACATTTTTACTGATGAGCAGTGAGTCGGTTCTGCACCTCTGTGACCGCGTCCGGGGACACTGCAGGCAGTTTCTAAACGTCCTAACAGATTCACTTGGGGGCCGTGGCGGGAGCCCCACGACTCCTACACTTGGGGTCTGCAGGCCCAGGGTCCTGGCCAGTGAGAACGTTCAGGATGAGACTGAGACCCCTGTCGCCTTTGATGTCAGTCTCCCTTCTACAGCAGGCTCGGGGAGCAAGCTCCGAAAACCGCACTTAGGATGAGAAGGACATGAGCAGACCAGAACTTATTGTTGTTAGAGCTCTGCGGCATTCCCTCAAAGGGTATGAAGACTTTCTGCCACTGTTTAACCCTGCAGTCTTTTAGAAAGAGAAGCGATTAAACTATATTTAAAAACAAACAAAGAAAACACCTAAGTTCCAGAAAAAAAAAAATGCGTTCACTACTCCAGAAGAAATGTAAATGCAAGCATTTATCTACCCGGCCAGGAGTTCAAACGCGGCTGGAATACAGCAAGTGGGCCTCCCGCACATGAGGGAGGGGGTGGGAGCCAGAGAGAACACAAGATGGTGATGAAGACAGAAGACTATGAACTGCAAATACTCCTCTAATGTCTGATTCCAGTCAGGGAGTGAATAAAGCAGAAACACTGCCAGCATAAGAAACACGAAGAAGGGAATATTGGGGATGTTTGGGAGGGAGGTCTGTCTGGTGCAGACCTCATCCTCTGCTCAGAGGAGGCCGGCCTCCCTTTGCTAAGGCTCAGCTCAGAGACTCTTGGGGAGGAAAGAGGGAAGGAGGGTGGGCGTGGGAGATGGAGATGCCCTGAGGCAGGCCAGGCTGGAACAAGGCCTTCCATCTCTGGGGGCAGGGTGTGTGTGTGTGTGTGTGTGTGCAGCTGATCCGCATGTAACCTCTGTGCCCCATGGATTTGTGTTTAAAATGGCTCAGAGTCTATGGTTTCACATTTTAAGAAAACTCGGAGGGTTGGCAGAAGTATATAGAGTCTGATTGTAGATTTTTAAAAATCAGATGTAATAGTCAAGGTGAGAATCTGAAAACGAATCAGTATATTGTTTATTCAGCGGGAGAACAACAATTTTAGGAGTTTATTTAGTGGGTAAATATTCTGGAAGATGGAATGTATCAGACATTTTGTCGTGGTACGGGAATAATAAGAAATCTGATAGTGCCCAGACGCACAGAAGAGGAAGAGGAAGGGATGATTCCAGAGAGTCGAGGCAGTGTGGCCTCACCCCACCTTGATTTGGGCCTACTAATTCTGACTTCGGACTTTTAGCCTCTAGAAATAGTCAAATATTTTGACTATTTTTTTAAGCCTGAAAAGTGAACAATTTAGAATCATTTACATCATGAGGTTCTTTTGAGATTTGCTTTTGAGCTGAGGAGGGTTTAGTCTACTTATTTCTCTTATTAGTGAAGCTGCATGGCGGCACTGGGTGCTGATTAACTACGTTGAATTCTGGTAAAAATGTCTTTTGCAGTGGAAAGAATTTCAAGTTTATAGCATTTGTTAAAACTTTCCCCCTACCTTACAAGTTCTAATTTTTCTTAACCAAGCAGATTATTACTAAAGCCATAATGAAACTCTTTCTGATTCCTCATCTGAGGATATTTTTCCATTGATTTTTAGAGAGAATGGAAGGGAGGAAGGGAAGGAGGGAGGGGAAGGAAGAGATACAGACAGAGAAAGAGAGAGAGAGAGAGAGAGAGAGAGAGAGAGAGAGAGAAGAAACATTGATGTGAGACACATCAATTGATTCCCTTTCATGTCCCAACCTGGGATGGAACCTGCGATCCAGATATGTGCCCTTGACTGGAAATTGAACCCTCAACCCTTCAATGCTCGGGCCAACACTCTAACCATTGAACGACGCCAGCCAGGGCTCTGATTTTTTTGTTGACAAATAATTTCTTCTATTTTTGATGAGCTAACCATGTATAGATTTAGTTACTAGAAAAATTCTGTTTCCCGAGTTTGCTGAAATATTTATTATTTTCCTTTCCTTATGTTTTTAAAGAAAATATAAGATGATTTGTTTCTCCCCCAACCCCTAAAAAGTGTCCAGAAAAACTTTCTTTAAAAGGGAATTAATAATTTCACAACTGCTAAGCTTCAAAACATTCCACCTCAGTTAGGAAGGATTTAGTCATCACTATCTTTTAGATGTCAATGACGTTCGAATGATGTCATCTGTAGATTTAATTATCACCATCTTTTGTTTAAGCCACTTGGGCTCCCTGCCTATGCTGGCCCTTGTCTGGAAATGGAGAAAGAGGGGCAGGCTCTACTGCAAGGACGGGTGGGTGGTGGATGAGGACCTTGGCCTTGAAGCACAATGGTGGGCATCATTCTTGAGCTGCTCCTTGAAAAGATAAGAGTTTCAAGACCAAAACCACAGAGTCCAGGTGTCCCCCAAGGAACCCCGAAACCCTGAGGTTTGCAACTTGGGGACAGAAGACCATGTTCCCAGAAGGGCTACAGGCAACAACCATATTCAAGGTGAACTGATGGCTATTACATTTCATTGGGAATTTCTGCTCCGAAGGCAGGTTAGGGAAAAAACGAGCTGGTGTTATACTCGTTTTCGCATGTGCAATTCAAGAAAAACAATTCTCGGGTAAGTAGCCACCATTATAGCAGGACCAGAGTCCATCTGATCCCGCACTAAACACAACTTTGCATATCAGAACAAAGCAGAGCCTCGGCTTCTTCAGGAGACCTGCCAGGGTGTTCTGTGTTCCTCTGAGTCCTGCCAAGGCTCAGAAATACGATGAAGGTTCAGAACGAGCAACCCACAGCGGGGGCAAGAACCACCCTCCCTAAATCCAACCGTCTTCAAACAAAAGGCTGAGCAGTGGAGTCGCAGGATCGGTTTCACTGGGACAAGCAACTGATTTTAATTAGTGCTATCTGGTGACATCCAGAAGAGTGACTCATGCCCCGACGGCCACCACAGTGACTGCACTACAGGGAGGCCTTGGGAGCAGGAGCAAGGGCTCAGGTTCTGGGCATTTCCTGGCGTGTCCCATTCCTACCAAGTCACACAGTTTCCTAGAGGGTGAGGTAAGCAGGACGGAGAGGAAGCGGAAGCGGAAGGGAAGGAAGTTGTCACCGGCCCAGTGCGGTCTTCTTCCAGGGGGGACGCGCCTGCCTCACGTCCCGCAGAGTGTGGAGAACTATGGGGAGTCTGACCACCGTGTGAGTCAAGCCACCGACAGGCCATTTCCTCTTCCGATGCCCAAATCTGTCCAAGTTGACCGTCATCCAAGCTGGAACATTTTGATTTTGTGCATTTTTAACGGCCACAGACCTCTGACCGTCAGAAGTGGTCCCCGAGGGCCGTATGTGAGAGGCCACAGGAAACAGAAAGAACGTTTGCGGGACCATTGAGCCGAGGAGTCCCTGGGAAGGAATGTTTGCTTTGTACGGTGGTTTTATCTTACGACACCGGATCCACTTTCAATTGTTCCAGCGAGGTCAAGTGATGGGTTTTGAACCGCTGCCCACCAGGCCTAGACCAGGTTTTGGCAGTTCACAAAGAAGAGAGCGCCTTGGCTAAGAGAGTGGGAAAGTGCCATTCATGAGAGAGTTAAGCAAGAGATAGCTCTATTCTATTTGGACTACAAAGAATTTTGACAAAGCCATAGCTTTTCATACCCAAATAATTATCTTTTGTTATTAAAAAAGATCACCTGGTTATCCCAAAATTACAGGTGTGTCCCAATAGCTGGCTATCATCTTCCAGGAAGGGCTGAAGTTCTTTGACCCCGTGACCGAAACGAAAAGGACGTCCTTTGGTTTGGGGCATAAAGAATGGGGTGAGACTGAGAGTAAGCCGATCTGGGTTGAGTCTTTGCTTTCGTACCTATTAGCTGTGCAACTTGAGCAAGTGGTTGACCTCTCTGGGCCAGAGTTTTCACAGCTCTGGAATGAAGATGCTACCATCTCACTGGGTTGATGGCAGCATCACACGGGACAGGGGATGGCAAAGTGATGAGGGCAGACTAAGCACTTGAGCCCTGGAAAGACAGTGTTGCAGCCCTGTGGATCGGCGCATGTCTCATTTACACCCCCCGCCCCCCGCCCCAGTGACCAGAGGAAGGATCTGATCTCTTGGGACAGCACCTGCCTCCGAGGAGTGCTGTGACCACCTGTGCGAGTGCTGCGCACAGTGCCTGGCATGTGGAGGCAATCACCACAGGCCAGAGCCCTGACTCCAGCCCTGCTCAATCTCTAGATTAAAACCCAGAAGAGTATGTGTCAGGAAACAGGCACATAAACATTTAAGTGTAGGTGACAGCAAAACTACGGCCCCGTCCCTTGGCATTACACGGGCCTTAAATATGCAATAATTAAGGTATAATTGGGTTTATACAACCTACTTGGGGAGAAAAATGAAAATGGACCAACAGGCTGAATAACTACTATCCAAGAGAGATGCAAAGAGTGTACACACTTGTTCTGGAGAAAAATGACAAAGGGCAGAGATGTAGCATAATGGGCTCTTGACATGGAAAGGGAGATTAGGCAGGACAGGGGTCAATTTTCAGTTTAAGAGAAATGATCATGTTAGTTTCCCAAGGCCCGGCTGGGAAAGCCGAGACATTCTCTCACACACACACACACACACACACACACACACACACACTCATACCAAACGACCAAAATAACACTGTTATCAAAACTCAAGGTTATAGGCCTTTTTGCTTAAAAAAAAAAAAAAAAAAAAAAAAAAAAAAAAAAAAGTCCCTTAGTTCATTTTCTGGAGTTTTCTTTTTCAGAAATGACAAAGATATGGAATGTGGTTGTGGTTAAAACTAAATACAGCGCTAACCGGTTTGGCTCAGTGGATAGAGCATCAACCTGCGGACTGAAGGGGCCCAGGTTCAATTCCGGTCAAGGGCATGTACCTTGGTTGCGGGCACATCCCCAGTAGGAGGTGTGCAGGAGGCAGCTGATCGATGTTTCTCTCTCATCAATGTTTCTAATTCTCTATCCCTCTCCCTTCCTCTCTGTAAAAAATCAATAAAATATATTAAAAAAAACAAAAAAACCAAAACAAAACAAAAAACCTAAATACAGCTCCCACTCCTCAGCAAGAAACACACAGACACCACGAAACACCACACACAACCCAGGCCAAGCAACTCCACACCCTGTGTTAATGTACCTTTCTCTTCATGGCCCAGGCTTTGGTGTGTTAGTGACAAGGACTTAACTCCCCCATGTTGCCTACTGGCAGTGAAACGAGGGAAAGTGAGGCCCCTGCGTGCCTGGCGGGGGGCCCCGTCTCCCCGACAGTCGGAAGGAAGGGTCTGCAGGTCAAGCCCGCTCACCTGGACGGCCCAGCACCCGCTGGCACTGGGAGGGGCGCGCACGGGGTTGAGGAACAGGAACGGTGTGAGTGGGGAGGATGAACTGAGGGTGTGTTGGGGGAAGGGATGCGCCTTGAGAATATGGTGAGGACACATTTGATATATGGGATGAGGAAAAGCAGCTCTGAGCCTTTAAAACTCCTGACTGGGAGTTTTCCAGGGAGGAGGGTTGGGAGGGTGGTCATTTTTCTTCCTGATGGGAAGCGAGGAGAGAAGCCAGCAGGTGTGGCTGCAGGACTGAGGGGCAGATAAAGGGGCCCCAGCTGTGGCTGCCCACGTGGCTCCAAGTTAAGCTCAACCCCCTGGACTGTGGCCAGCGAGCCATCACAGTGTCTAATTTCTGCTGCCGAGTCCTCCCCGAGACTCAGGCCACTCTGAATGAGCTGTCCCATCTCCATGCGTCTTTCCAGTGGCAAGAGTGCAATCGCCCTGTTGAGCCACAGTTGGGTATTACAGGTCGAATGATGTCCCCAAAAAGAGGTACTGAGGCCCTGACCCCCAGTGCCTATAACCGTGACCTTATCTGGAAACAGGGTCTTTGCAGATGTAATTAAAATGAGGTCAATAATCGGGGGGCCTAATTCAGCATGACTGATGTCCTGATCAGAAGAGAAAGCCACGTGGAGACAGACACGCAGGGAGAAAGCTATGTGGCCGTGGAGGCAGAGACTGGGCAGAGGCCAGGAAGGACCCCACCAGTGTCAGAGGGTGCACAGCCCAGTGTCAGAGGGTGCACGGCCCAGTGTTAGAAGGTCCATGGCCCAGTGTTAGAGGGTGCACGGCCCAGTGTTAGAAGGTCCATGGCCCAGTGTTAGAGGGTGCACGGCCCAGTGTCAGAGGGTGCACGGCCCAGTGTCAGAGGGTGCACGGCCCAGTGTCAGAGGGTCCATGGCCCAGTGTCAGAGGGTGCACGGCCCAGTGTCAGAGGGTGCATGGCCCAGCCGACACCTGGTCCCGGACTTCTGGCCTCCATAACTAGGAAGGGTTAAATTTCTGTTGCTTAAGCCACCCCGCTGTCATGCTCTGTTATGGCAGCCCTAGCCAACGAAGACACCAAGATTCTTCTATCACGGGATTCTAACTCTGTAACCAAGAGATATGTGGCCCTTGAAAATGACAGCAGATATTAGTTTTAATTCTGGATAAAGAATGAGTGTACAGAGTTCCATTGCTATGGAAAGAGCTGCCTTCACCAAATCCGTATTCACAGAGGATATGATCTGACTTTCACCAAGGACCTAGGTTCTGACCATCTCACTGCATAGCCACACCCCACAGTGACTCTCAAGTCCTGGGCTGTTATTAGGAAGGAATTCGCAGTAACCAAGTCAGAAAATTACTTATCAGACCATTTTTGTCAAGAATATTAAAAGAACAAAACAAAACTAAAACTGAAAAAGATTTGGAAAAAGAAAAAGTAGAAAGCAGAACAGCCTACCTGAATTGGGTCCTGTGAGAGTAGAGTCTTGTTCACTTAGAACAAGCCTTGAACTTGCTCTGTTTCTGTATCGAGATCGATGTCGTAGAAGCAGGGCCGTGTGGGCAGTCCGGGCATGGTGCTCATCTGGAGGGGAAAACACAAGCAGACACATCAGCAAACGCCACCACGTGACCACTGTGCAGCTAACGATGTAAATGAACCGGACAATCCAATTCAGCTTTATCTAACTCAAGTCATATATCCATACATTGTCTCTTTATATTGGCCGTCTGCTATTTCAACCTTTAAAGAAATGACACAGAAAAGGCAAATGTCGCCCGAACTGGTTTGGCTCAGTGGATAGAGCGTCGGCCTGCGGACTCAAGGGTCCCGGGTTCGATTCTAGTCAAGGGCATGTACCTTGGTTGCGGGTGCATCCCCAGTGGGGGGTGTGCAGGAGGCAGCTGATCGATGTTTCTCTCTCATCAATGTTTCTAACTCTCTATCCCTCTCCCTTCCTCTCTGTAAAAAATCAATAAAATACAGTTTTTAAAAAAAAAAGAAAAAAAGAAAAGGCAAATGTCAAAATTTTGAAAATTGAGACCATTTGCTCTCCCCAACGGCCGGCCCCATAGTAGACTGTGGCTCCCAAACAGTGATTTTTAAACCTTTGTTTTTTCTAAATCAAATCTTACTGGTAATGCTGAGCCCCAACAAAGATGAGCCCCTCTGGTTGAAGGGGACAGTGGGTGTGGGTGGAGGGGACAATGGCCTCCTCTTCCCCTCCAATTACGGCGCCCAAGACCCATGTTTGTAAAGCCTACAACCCCGGGAGCACAATGTACAAACTGCTGTTCTCCAGAAAGCCATCACTGTGCCTGCCTTAGTAACAAGAATGGATGCTTACTGAGAACTGACTATGTGCTAGGCACTGCGCGGAGTTCCTTACATATCTTATCTTCCCGACACTATGAGAAGGCGCTTTTATTATGTCCGTGTGACACGGGAGGCAGCAGAGGTTAAATCACTTGCCTGAGGCCACCCAGGTGGTCAGAAGCAAAACTGGAAATTTGATTCCATGCCTGTGATCTCAAATGGCTCCTTTAGTGACCGCCGCTGGAGGTTATAGTGCAGTGACGGCGAACCTTTTGAGCTCGGCGTGTCAGCATTTTGAAATACCCTAACTTAACTCTGGTGCCGTGTCACATATAGAAATTTTTTTATATTTGCAACCATAGTAAAACAAAGACTTATATTTTTGATATCTATTTTATATATTTAAATGCCATTTAACAAAGAAAAATCAACCAAAAAAATGAGTTCTCGTGTCACCTCTGACACCCGTGTCACAGGTTCACCACCACTGGTATAGTGATAGCCTCCGTCATCCCCATGTGCATTACGGGGATAACGTCAGTCCGTCTCCCCCCACGTTACTGAAGAGGACAGTGGGTTTTAGGCACAAAGGCATGCGCTCAGGGACGCAGCCAGTTAGTGGTGGAAACGGGATTAACCCAGGCCACGCTCCTTGCTGCTTTGCGGCACGGTGTCCAGATCAGAGTCCACAGGGCGCTCTCCGCCCACCTGCATCGGAAGCCCTGGGTGTGCTGGGCAAGGCCCCCAACTCCCCCTGGTGGTCCTCACACCGAACACTGGTCTGGGATCTAGATCGGTGGTCACAACCTTTCGGACCTCACGGACCACCGACTGGCGACCGCTGATCTAGATGGTGAGGCTCCTGCATGACCCACTCCTATCGACTTCAGTGTCTCCGCTGTGCTTTCACATGCACTCTCCACACAAAGGCGGCCTGAAAAGCAATGCTGCGTCCCACTCGTCCAAGGAGGGGCGCCCGGATTCTGCTGGCCTGGTTCTTCTGAGGCTGAGTGCTGTGTCAGGCAAATGTACGTCTGCCCGGCCAGAGAACGCTGGGAAAGGAGGCTGCACTACACCGCTCCATGCCTCCAGGGTGTGTCTGCTCCTCCCCACCGGGCACAGTGCTCAGCCAGACAGGAGCCAGATAAGGCCTCTCTGATAGAACTGTCTCACTCTCCGCTTCCTTTCTGCAGTGACCCCGGATTTCTCGGTCCGCCACCCTCTTCTGCCTTGTGATGCCGATAGACTCTTGCTACAGAGACTGCGGTCTGTGGATCAGTAGCACTGGTGTCTCTGGGAGTTGCTGGACATTCAAATCTCAGAGCTGCGCAGGCCTGCTGAACCAGAACCTGCAGTTTCAGCAAGTCTGCAAGTAATGTGTGCATGTTATAGCATGAGGAGCGCAGGCTCAATGTGGCCCAGATGCCTGACCCCACCCTGCCCACTCCCATCCCCGTGAGCAGCAGGAGAGTATGCTGGGTGGTGGAGGGGTCTGTGCACCTGCAGGCCTCATTAACCACCTGGACCAGGGGAGCGACGGGACGTGCATAAACCCCTGGGACATACGGTGGCCAGCTCCTGTCTTGCTCACTGCACGGGACTGTACTTTAGATATATTATGGGCTAAAAGGGCTCCTGGGACCTGCCTGGAATATGGGTACCATTTATAACACATCTTTGGGAAAATGTGCTTAGGTTTTCAAGCAATTACCTACGAATAAGGTTTCAGTGCTCAATCGGCTTTTAGGTGGGAACTTCCTGTATTTTAAAACTGCAGGTATGTCGATGGCTATTTCTCCTCCGGAAGCTTGTGGTCCTGGCAGGGGTGACGCTTTTCTCTGGTTACCACAGTGGGTGCACGTACCCCAGGAGATCACAGGAAGAAACCGGGGCTCACTGCGTTGGCACCGGGACAGCAAACACAAGGGACACCGAGTGGGAACCGCTCATATTCTTTTCCTGAGTACAACCCACGTGCCAGGTATGTGACGGCAGTTTCCTGTCCAACCGCATTCTGACTCAGGCATTTTTTTTTAAAATAATTTTTATTTCTTGAAGTATTACAAAGAGTATTACATATGTCTCCTTTTTTTTCCCCCCCTTGACATTCCCCCGGCCCCTACCCCCTAGTGTCTTGTGTCCATTGGTTATTCTCATATGCATGCACACAAGTCCTTCGGTTGATCTCTTAACGCCCGCCCCCCCCCCAACCCTCCCCAGGCTTCCCACTGTAGTTTGACAGTCTGTTCAATGTTGCTCTGTCTCTGCATCTACCCCTGTTCATCGGTCTATACTGGTCCCCATTATCTGTCCCACCCTCACTGGAGCAGTCCCAACCTCACCGGGGCCGTCTCGGCCTCACCAGGGCTGTTTCAACCTCACCGGGCCGTCCCGACCTCACCGGGGCCGATTCAACCTCACCGGGGCCGTCCCGACCTCACTGGGGCCGATTCAACCTCACCGGGGCCGTCCCGACCTCACCGGGGCCGTCCCGACCTCACCGGGGCCATCCCGACCTCACCGGGGCCGTCCCGACCTCACCGGGGCCGTCCCGACCTCACCGGGGCCGATTCAACCTCACCGGGGCTGTCTCGACCTCACCGGGGCCGTTTCAACCTCACCAGGGCTGACGCGGGCATTTTAAGATGCCTCTGTAGTCGGTGCGGGGCTATGGATTTGGGAACAGGAACCGGCATTTTATAGTTGAAGAGAGAGAAAGGAATGATCCCACGCAGCCACAGTGACGCTGCCCCAGCCTGTAAATTAACTCGGCAGGACGGTGCCCAGACTTTACGGCTGCAGGTCCTGAGGCTGCAGTGCCAAGGCGGGATCCTGCAGGAGGCGGTTAAGTCTCAATCTCCGCGAGGTGAGAAAACCCAGGAAGAACACAAAGGCAGTGCATTATGGGCTCATCTGAACAAAGCTACAATGGACGCTTCTGCTGTGGGTAATGATCACCCCGTCTGCTTGTTTACACACTAGTTCTGTAGACATGAAAATCAAGGTTGAGCTCATGCAGGACCAAGAAAGACAGAGGTGGAGCATGGCGCGTGGGGTTCCTGAAGCGGACCTACGGGCTTCAGCGAGTCCGAGGGCGCATCATCGGGTCACCCGGATTCTGCTACAGAACTGGGAGTTAAAAGTAGCCAAGACAGTAAATGCCGGGAAGGTGAAATGTCTTTACTCTATTTTCAGTTTATGGGGAGAGATGAGCTTAATCAGAAGACGCCCATGTTTCTTTCCAAGGATGCAATCATCACTTCCCAGAATCCACGATGACGTATCTGGGATACGCAGCAACAGACGAGAGAGCACACAGTCTGCAGAGCCGGGGGACTCCCTGACCCGCGGACGAGGAGCCATCCCCCACAGAGCCACGCCGAAAATAAAACTCTCCTGCGGAGCAGACACAATGTGGAATGCTGTTAACAAGACCTAACACACTCGCTCCAATTGTCTCCCAGTAAAAAACTGGTACCAACGGGTAGTAGCCCCCAGACAAGAGTCAGGACAGCAGGACAAGAAGGAAGGGTTCGGACAGCCCTTGGGAGTTGACCTCTGGCCCCGCGCCTGCGGTCAGTGGTGATCTGTTGACTTTATTTGTGTGCCCTCCAAGGAGGCCTTCTGCTTACAATAATGAGGGAGCCACTAAATTGTTCTTACTAGTCACACCGCATCAATGGATTTCTTTACAAAGGCTGAGAGACAGGGCTTGTGCCCTTCGTGACCCTCATTTTAACTACGGTGAATCTTCCAAATCTTTACTGATTTTGGGTTAAGCTTATTTTGGAGAAATGAGTTCTATGAATAGCCTTTATAAACATACATTAAAAGGAATAAATATCTAATCACTATTAGACATTCAGGTTGTACACCTGAAACTAATATAATATTGCATGCCAACTGTAATTGAAAAACAAAAAAAATTAAAAAATACTAAAAAGAAAATATTCATTAGAAGTAAGCGTAGAATATTCTTTGGCATGAGTAGAAAAATTACCGAAAATTGCTTTATAGTGATAGAATCGTAACTTGTCCTTAACCACAATATTCGATGAAAGAGAAACATCGATCAACTGCCTCCTGCACACCCCCCTAACTGGGGATCGAGCCTACAACCTGGGCATGTGCCCTGACCAGGAATCGAATCACGACCTCTTGGTTCATGGGTCAATGCTCAACCACTGAGTCACAGTGGCTGACTGCTCCTTAAATCTACTACTTTTTCACCTGAAAAAAACTTCATCTCTAGCAACTCCTTGTTTTTT